TACATATTTTATCAGGTTTAATGAACTACATGTACATAATGTATCAGGTTTAATGAACTACATGTACATAATGTATCAGGTTTAATGAACTTACATGTACATAATGTATCAGGTATAATGAACTACATGTACATGATGTATCAGGTATAATGAACTACATGTACATGATGCATCAGGTTTAATGAACTACATGTATATAATGTATCAGGTATAATGAACTATATGTACATAATGTATCAGGTATAATGAATTACATGTACATAATGCATCAGGTATAATGAACTACATGTACATAATGTATCAGGTATAATGAACTACATGTACATAATGTATCAGGTATAATGAACTACATGTACATAATGTATCAGGTTTAATGAACTACATGTACATAATGTATCAGGTTTAATGAGCTACATGTACATAATGTATCATATAAAGGAAGAAAAGAGAGGTAATGGGTGAATTGAGTACATCCTTTTAGCTGATAATGTAATAAGGTGAACCTATCTTGATGCTTGATGCAATCTGATATAACAGTGGGCCCTACACAGCCAGTCAGTGGGTGGACAATACTATCAAATTACACTCTTAGTAATGTCATCCTAATTACACCATAAGTACATGTACATGTAAATGCATTAGTAGAAGGTAGTTACATTAGTATAAGGTTCATGTTGTTATATTCAATAGGTGTTAGTTGATGAATCAGCTCATAAGCCAGTGTATGCTGATCTGGCTATTGCTGCTAAAGGGAAGAGACCACAGGCAGCACCAAGACAAGAACAACCAGTGGTATATGCATTAGTTAACAACAAAGTAATAATAATAATGTACATGTACATGTAACAATGGGTATCTTTTCCACTTCATTATACAACCACTATCTCTCTCTTTCTCTCCCTCTCTCTCCCGGCCCTAGTCTGTTTCTCCTCCCATTCCTCCTCCATCTGCTCCTGATAAATATGCAGCAGTCAATGGAAATGTAAGCCATTACACTATACTGTATGGAGTAACACACCCTTCTATCTCTCTCTCTCCCCCCTCTCTCTCTCCATCACTCTCTTCCTCTCTCTCCAGAGGAAGTCCACTACTCAAGAGCTGATCATGGATAGGTTAGGTGGTCTGGATATTCCTCCTCCAATACTACCAAAACCAAAACCTTAAATATATTCCAATACCTTATACCAGCTCCTCTTCAGTAGTATGTACATGCGGTATGAATTAAATAACAATTGTCTCTAGCATCATGATCATGCATGGGTATATTGTATTATTATTATTATTATTATTATTATTATTATTATTATTATTATTATTATTATTATTATTATTATTATTATTATTATTATTATTATTATTATTAGGGGCATGCAGTAGTAATTCTGATTATTATAGTTTTAGCTCAGTATAATGTGTGTGTGTCAACAGTATATAATTGCTTTAGCTACCAGCTGATAATAAAATACAAAAATGAATGAAATAATGGTTTAATTAAACCATTATTTCATTCATTTTTGTATTTTATTATCAGCTTTTACTTCCTTATTGTATCATTTGAAATGGTTAGTTATTATAAACATATTCATGATTATTATTATTGTCAATTACTCTCAATGAACAATCCATTGTTTATTATAATGTAATGAATGTGTACTGAACTGTCAATTATAGTCTCATGCCCCACAAAGCAAAGGGGCTGGGTGACAAGACTATGACTATAAATAACAATAACAACAATAATAGAAGTAATATGAACATACAATATAACTAATGGAGAATACAATAAAACAATAACAGTAATCTTGTACTAATAACAATAGTAGGAGGGGATGTCAATTAAGGGAGTAGGTTAATACAGTACACAAGCAGCTGCTAGTTACGTAGTCAACTATAGCAATAGCAATAGCAATCAATAGCAATAGCAATAGCAATAGCTAGTTAGTTGTCAACAATAGCATAGGACA